AGAATAGTGACTTTTTTAAGTCAAAGTTAAATTTTCATTGATTTGTTCCATTCCCACCCTTTGGCGACTCTAGTGCCCGTCCCTGACATCGCGGTGCCTGTCCCGCAGGACATGATGCTGATGTCCTTCTGCTGCATGGAGCTGCAGCTGGACCAGTGGCTGCTGACCAAGGGCAGGAGCGCCTCGGGTAGGAGCGCTGTTTCCTGTGGCGGGAGGCCTGCCGGACCCTTAGCCGTCAGCAGGCGGGGGCGCGGGGAGCCTGCCGGACCCTTAGCCGTCAGCAGGCGGGGGCGCGGGGAGCCTGCCGGACCCTTAGCTGTCAGCAGGCGGGGGCGCGGGGAGCCTGCCGGACCCTTAGCCGTCAGCAGGCGGGCACGCGGGGGGGCCTGCCGGACCCTTAGCCGTCAGCAGGCAGGGGCGCGAGGGGGGGGGGGGGCCCAGCCATGGAATTCAGACTGCAATCTGCAGTGGGCACATTTCCTGGGTTGGCTTGTCAGGCCTGCAAGGATCCAGGGTCTCAGCCGAGACGTGTTAGCAGCAGCTGACCACCAGAGGGAGCCACCTACCTGCTTTTCTCTTCCTTGGGATGGAAGTGAGATCTTAGTGTTCCCAAGTGATCACGTGACAATTGATGTGTCCTAATAATTTCTCCAGCAGATCGAGGGCCCAGGGAGAGCTCTGGGAGCAGAGGGGCGCCTGGACCTGCACATGAAGTTGACTTGTTCTGTCTGACTGTTTTCAGTGTCTCCTCGGCACTGCCCTGCTGCTGGTGTGGCGAATGGCAGGTTTGGGCCTGATTTCCCGGGAACCCACTTCCTGGGCGACCTCCTGCAAATGTCCTTTGCCTCGTCTCAGCGGGACCTGTTTGAGGATGGCTGGCTGGAGTTTGTGGTCCGCGTGTATTGGTTGAAGGCTCGGTTCCTGGCTCTGCAGGTTGGTTCTGTGATCGGCCGCGTGGGGAGCTTGCCCTGGCACCAGAGGGATGGAAGAGACTGGGTGCCTCCTTGAGGATGTGCGTGTGCACGTGTGTGGCCCCTGCCCGGGCTCAGCTTGAGGAAGTGGGACCTGGGGGGATGTTCAGCTTCTCGGGAACCCCAGGGTAGCTCCAGCCTAAAGCACAGCCGCACAGCAGGGTCGGCAAGGGGCCTCCTGTGCCCCGGTACGGCCCTCACTCAAGATTGCTCGGGGGCTGGACCCTTTGCTGATGTCTGCAGAGCTTTCTAGAGGGAGCCCATCCCCTCGCTTGTGTGAATTCTCGGAAGGCTGCTGTGGAGCCTGGTCTGGAGGGCCAGTGGGCCTTCACACATGGTGACGCCTGGTGCACTGTGGTAGCGCGAGCAGCAGAGTGCACAGTCGGTTCTGGAATTAGGGCAGGCCTAGCTTTTAATCCTGGCCCTGCCATTTATGGTTGTGCTTTTTGAACAAGATACTCAGCCTTCCTCAAGTGTCTTAAGTGTCCTTACCTGTAATATGAGGTTAATGTTACCTCCCCTTAGAGTTGTGATGTGAATTCATTTGTCTATTTGTTCGTCCGTCCGTCCGTCCATCCATCCATCCATCCATCCATCCCACAAGTACTCACTGAGCCCCACTGTGCATCAGGTCCCTTCCCAGGGTCTGGCAGGGATCGGATGAAACGGCCCTCACTGTGCCTGCAGGCTGGCGGGTCAGGGAGGTGAGGCCCCTGGCATAGCAGCACAAGTTCTCTTCCTTCATCCTCTGTCCCCTGACGGCTCTTCCTTTGACCAGGGGGACATGGAGCAGGCGCTGGAGAACTATGACATCTGCACAGAGATGCTCCAGAGCTCCGCTGCCCTCCAGGCAGAGGCCGGGGCCGAGCAAGGCGACGTCGTCATCCGGCTCCCCAACCTCCACAACGACTCGGTCGTTTCCCTGGAGGAGGTGCGTGGCGTGTTCTTCACGGTGTTTCTTAACGGTGCAGAGCTGTGTGAGGGCAAGGCCAAGTGCAGTGCCCCTGTTGGCCTCCCGGTGAGGTAATGGGGCCTGTGGGTAATGGGGCTTGTGACCTTTGGCCCAGGGCTCCATGAGTCTTGGCAGCCTGATGCCCAGGGCTCCACGAGTCTGGTTTGCTGAACTGACTATGAGATGCCTACTATTCTGGCAGACACTTTTCTGAGCTGCTCTGGTTCTGGGGAGTTTTTTGTTGTTGTTTTCTTATGTTTGTTTTTTAAAGAATTGAGCACCTTGACTTTAATAGAAATATTTTTTGTTTTGTTTTGTTAGGCCTCACCTGAGGATATTTTTTCCATCGAGAGAGAGTGGAAGGGAGGGAGTTGGGGTGGGGAGAAAGGGAAACATCGATGCGAGAGAGGCACATCGATTGGTTGCCCCCTTCATGTGCCCCGACTAGGGCCAGGGAGTGAACTCAGCCCAGGTTCGTGCCCTTGACTGGGAATCGAACCCTTGACCCTTTGGTGTGCGGGCCGACACTCTAACCACTGAGATACACACACCAGCCAGGGCTTAATAGAAATACCTTTAGTGAAGTATTTGCCTAATGTAAATGCTGGTATGTTCAGGGAGTCGGGTTTTGGGTCTGGTAAATGCAGACACTGGCTGGTTCAGGGAGTAGGCGAGGGGTTCGTCATCTGCTCGGAATTCCGGTTCCTTCCAGATCGATAAGAACCTGAAGTCGCTGGAGCGGTGCCAGTCCCTGGAGGAGATCCAGCGGCTGTACGAGGCTGGTGACTACGAGGCCGTCGTGCAGCTGCTCCGCCCCACCTTGTGCACCAGTGGGTTTGACCGGGCCAAACACCTGGAGTTCATGACGTCCATCCCCGAGAGGCCGGCGCAGCTGCTGCTGCTGCAGGTGTGTGCTGCCCGGGCCCCG